AAGTCAAAATACAGGAGAGGGACGTGCTGGATGCATTTCAGGTAGCACTGAATTTAAAAAAGCCTCTTTGCCTGGAGTTCACCTCACAGTGCCCTGGACCATCCTGAGGTTTAGTCACTCCTACATGGCCATCCCAGCTTTGCTACTGTGTGGTTGTTATCTCATCAGGAGAGAATCTGATCAGTGCAGGGAGAAGAAAATCTAAATACAATGGAAAGGCCTTCGGCATCTGAAATTCTTCTTTTGGGAATCGGAAACAAATACATTTATAACTTCACAAACAGTAAACGAGAAAGATTCTTTTCCAGTAGTTACAGAAACATAGTATTGTTTAGGTTGGAAAAGCCCTCTGAGATCATTGAGTCCGTGTTCTGGCACTTTGTTTTGAAACCTCCAATTCCTCTTATTTACAGATCCTCATTCTAGGAGGAGAGATTGGTATCAACGGTGCTGATCTGAAATTATTCATTTGATGAATGAGTTTAGACATAGTTTTAGACATGGCTCTGGCAAGAGACCCGGTTTCTCAACACTCACCTGGCAGACCTACACAATGACCTTTCTCTTCTTTCTTAGAATTATTATATTAGAAAAACTAATTAAAAAACCCACTTTGTTCTCAAATGAGCTTGAATCTTCCCAGGCATCTGGTTCTTCCCACTATTCTGTAAAAAAGTCAGATACTTGGAGGTGCATTCATTGATCTGTCATGCAGACAGGTGCCAATCAGGTATTTAATTTCTGACTTCAAAGACTGATCTCATTGTGGCTGTGGCAATGGAACATATGATAATACACTTTGCATTTGAGAATGCCTCTTTATCATTTCAGAGGCTTATAGAATTCTTCTCTTCCAACTCCAAAAACAAAGCTTAATATTATTACTAATTTCAGACTTTGCTAAGCAAAGGGATGGATTGTTTGGAAGCAATTAATTTACTTAAATAAAGGATCTTTTTGCTACCCAGCCAATGGTACACACTAAGAATCCTGTTCTGCCACCCAAGGAAGGCAGAGAATGCACTGGACTTTATTTCAGTACATTTAAGTGACTGACATGACTAAAAAGGAGGGGGGGAAACAGTAACAGGTATGTGTGGCATTTGTTCTTCTGTGATGTTCTGCTAACCACAGTAAATTATTATTAATGAACTGAATATGTCAATCAAATTACTAATTTATTGAAGACTCTGTACTACTACTCTTCCAGGAATCACTCCAAATCTGGCAACCCAGTAATCACAGGGACTCCAGCTGCCCCAGCAAATTTTTATTTGCTCATTGCTTTCACATTACAAGGTGCCACTTTTGAAATGCCCAAGAAGTCTAAGGATGACAAGAAGTAATAGATCCTCTCATAGTATACTGTTAAATTACAACACAAATTTGTGGAATGGGTAAAATGCACCAGAAAATTACAAAATTTGTATTCAACTATGCAAAAAACCCCCAACCTATTATAAAAATCAACAGTCCAATAATCACACATTTGTAACTGGGAAAGCATGAACTCAATTCTCAGAAGACAGCATGTCTTTTTAATCATCAGCATAAAAATCCAGCTATTCCATAAAACTAATTTATATTGGTGGAAATCAGGAGTAAGACACACCAGTCTTAGGTCTGGTTCTGCCTAAAATAAAGCAGAAGTGATCCAGGCATAATTACATTGCTTTGCAGCCCTGTAAAAGTTTTCTAAACAAACAAAATCACGGAAGGTCCATATTAAACAATTCAGTAAGTTAGTTTCTAGCCATGTATAAAGCCTTTTTTAATCTGTTTACTGTTTTTTAAGTAAATCTTTGTGGTCATATAGGGGAAAAATGTTCAAAGACATCTCATTACATGCTCAGTAAGTGTTTATTCCAGCCCAGGATCTGTTTAACAGGAAAGGGACAGATCAGATTTAGAGGGTCCTTCTGTCAAGGCTGCCCCTGATGTGGGCTCCTGTCTTTCCCCAGAGCATCTCCAGCCACTGGTAATCTATGTAAAACCATAATTCTCTGGATAAACGTGCCTGCTAAATGCCTTCTCTGAGGCTCTGAGCCATATGGTTGGGATTACAGCATTTCAATAGTTATTCCAAGTGAATACAAAGATGAAGCATAGAATAGTGGAGGCAGTTATGTTCATAATTCCATTTATAAAGGGGATTTCAGGATTTTTAAGGCCCACATTCTGCACCACTGGAGCCAGAACCACAACCTTAGAGCAAGTGCAAGTTATATTTACAAGGAAGAACAAGGTGCAATAAAACCACATTTTTATCTTTAGGAAACGTGCTTTTCCCCTAGATTGAAATGATGCTCACACAGCACAGCCCCTTGTCACCATTGCCAGCATCACCATCCTCTGAGGCCACGATGCATCAGTGGATCACCAACAGCCAGGACACCTCAGGAGAGACACTGTGTAATATTTTATGTTGTTTCATGTTTTTCTAACACTGTTTTATAACATACAGGAAAAGGCGGCTTTGAATAGAACTCTTCCAGGACAAACAATGAGCACATGGCCTCAAAATGTGTTTCAAATAATACCACAGTAGTTATAGTTTCAAGTACAAGGACAGACATAACAACAAAGAGCATCAACTTCCCTCTTTCCTGGTCTGGTTAATTTTCCCTTTCCCATCTGTGAGTATGACATAATGATACAGACTATTTTTCCTTAATTTTGAGATCTGCAGAGGAGAAGTACCATGTACAAGCTCGGTCTATATTGGTTTTGTTAGTTGTATGTGTTTAGCCAGGCTTTACTTTCCTCCACACACCATTATTTACACTCCAAAGCACTGACTCCTTGCAAAGCATTATACATGTTATGACTGTGTTTATAGAGTAGAAGTGCTCTCTGTAACGTCTGTTTTTCATGTCTTAAACCAATAAAACTTTACATTGGGCTTATCAAAACCATTCAGTGTAGATCTAAGTCTGCTGTGACTGAAATCAGCAATAAAACTTCTCTTGATGCCCTGTGGATCAGAGCTAAGGCAACGCTGAGCTCTCTTAATAAATTCCGCTCCGGTAAAAGTTTTATTTAAAAAATGTGGTCAACCCAAAGCTTTTAAGGAAGATTAATGTGGACTTATAAAAAAATGTCTGATTTTATTATTAGTAGTAATTCATACAGTTTGTCCTGAAGTTTTCCTTTTCAGCTTCAGTTTGAACCATATGTTCAGGAAGTTCAACTGAAAAGCGATCCTTGAGCAATATTATTTTTTTCTAATTAACAATAACCACAGAGGTATTTTAGAGAAACCTACAGGCTCCCTCAGAAGGTTGTAGAGTGAGCTGGATTAAAACAGGATTTTGTCTATTTTATGAAAAATGCACCAAAGCACAAATAGGTCAACTTCAGAGGAGTCCTTCCTTTCCTCTACCAAACAAAGGATTCCACATGCAGCAAATCTTAATTTCCACAGGGTTCTTTTGTCAAAGGCCTTGGAGAACTCTGGGACCCATCAGTGCCCTGTCCACCTCACCAGGATGGAGCACAGACACAGCAGTGCAGCCACGGGATCACCAGACAGGATCTGGATCCAGTGGGGCAAAGCAGTTCCTGCAGTCAGGTGTGATGGCTGGCAAATGCAAAAGCTCAAGGGGATGCTGGAAGCTGGGTGCCAGACTGGGCTTATACAGACTGGATGGGGATTTAGGGATAAACACAGCCATGGGCCCAAACAGCTGGTCTGTGAGTGCAAACAAAACACAGCAGTCACAAAGGAAAACCCTGCACTTGAACAAAAACAAGAGTAAAAAGCAGAAGTCAGAGCAAGGTTCATAAAAATACTTTCGGGCCAAATTTAACATCCCCAGTCCTTGTACACAACATGTAACTGATGGCATCAGGACCGTTGTTATACTGGGTTTCAAGCATGGTTTATTCCATATTCCCCTTTTCAATGACAGCAGACAAAGTAACTCTGGGTGCAGAAACCCTGCACTGAGGGCTCCTGGAGACTTACAAAAAACTGCTTGCTGGTTATTTTGAAGAACAAAGGTAATTGTTCAGTTCGACAGAACAATTCCATCCCAGTGGCAGCTCAGTGTTGTGCTGCTGTTTGCACTGGAGTCCTTGTCAGGTTTGATCAGTTTAATTGTTGAGAGGTTTTGTTTCCCCTAAGCTGTCACACTGCTCACTGCCCCAGGAGCTGCAAGTCAAGCTGTGCTGCTTCTGATCAGATGCTGTTTGTGCTTTGCTGTTTTTGCTGTTGGTGCCAGCCCTGACATTAGTGTGTGTCACCCACTGCTGTCACCACACATGCAGCCTCATCTTCCTGCCCTCTTTCCTGAAACCTCTCTATGTTGTACTTGGAAATCAGCAGTTGTCTGGGTAGAAGAATTGGAAAGGATGTGACAACTGGATTTTCCAGAGGTACATCTGCTCCTTGGCAGTGCCTCCTGGTTTATCTGGGATAACTGGCCCTCACAACCCTGAAAGCCTGTTCCTGACAGGGTGTAAGATATCACCAAAGCACATCCTTCCTCTCCTGTCACATCCTGGGAAGGAGCCTGAAAGAACTGTGGAGTCTGTTTTAACCTACCGACTAAACTACGCCCCGTGGAGGGAAACATTAATTTTTAACCCAACCCAACAGCATTAATGAAGAGGAACAATCACTTAGTCCTACAGTTCCTGTGCAAAGCCGGGTGAGACTCAAGGCCTCATTTCCAAGCACTCACAGCCTACACTTGGTGCCAAATTCTCAATACAGGCACACACCAGTGCAGCCATTAAGACCCAGTTCCCAAAAGGATTCAATGTCAGGCAGAATATTTTCTTTTCCAAGGTCTGGGGCAGTGGGGATTCCTTTTAGAAATGTTCCTCTGGATACTGCACAACAATTGAACAGCATAGGGGCATTCACACAGCACAGAAAGGTTCTTCATTCAAGAGATTTGAATCTGAAAGTGCTTAGAGACACATTGAACTGAAACACTGCAAGCATCAGGATGCAAAATAACCTATGTCATGTGAATACTCAGTTTGCAGATTACCTGTGTGACATGCTGCTGTTCCTGACTCTTGCCTTGTGAAGAATCTTCACCTTGGGGTGTCTCGTGGATTTTTTTCCTCAGAGTTGCTGTTTGCTTCTTTGGAACCACCATATGCTTGTCTTCTCCATTTGATGTGAAGCCTGGGCCTCTCTGCAGGATACTTGGAGCAGCTGATGACATGGTGGTTCCCCTTCTTTTAAGTTGCATGATAAACATCTGTCAGCAAATTGCACCCAATGGGTGAGGGAGGCGAGGCCTGGGCCTGACTGGCTCCAGTTGGGGCCCTTGGGCAAACTTCACCAAACAGTGAACGGGCTTCTCTTGGACTGGGGACACGTGTGATGGGTTTGTCCCTCTGCTGGTGACATGGGCTGGATCAGGACTCAGCAGTGCTTGGCACTGCCAAGTGACTCAGTGTGAAGCCTCAGAGGGCAGTTTTACACTGCGCACTTGCTGAACTCTCTCATGTTGCATTTTTCTGTAACTTCTCGTCATCCAAAGAGCCTAAATTGAAAGTGCCTAAAGCCAAAAACAGCTTAACATTAAAATGCCCATTGACCTGCAGCTGAAGAGTGCTAGAACTCCTGAGCTTTAACATTTTACATCTTGGTTCAATTTGAATTAAATTTTAATTTGAGAACTCGACAAGATGTACAATTTGCTAAGTCTTGCATAACAAAAGGATGGTCAGACAATCTCACTGCAAAATCCTGTACCAGTGTTTGTGTTATCACAGCTGATTTCCCAGACACTGAGATATGGGTTTCTTACAGCTCTGCAATGGGAACAGATTTTAAAATGCATAATGTGAAACTGGTAGTAACACTGTCCTGCAACAGAAATGCAGCTATTAAGTACAACTATTACACGGGGAGAAAAGCATTAAAAAGCCACGCAGGAAATGTGAACAAATCTCCCTGTAACTGTTTTGTACAAGCCCACGTAAGGTACAGAGATTCCTTGAACTTTGTGCATCTACATTTTACACCAAGCCAGTGTGACTGTTTGTTTCCTTTCTAAACTCCATACACTCCTTGTGATCACTAAGCTTGGTACCAGTTCAGCCTGAGGAATCAAGGCCAGTTTGATGATAATGATATAAAAAGCAGGAAGTTTATGGAAACTTTGCTGATGCTGTTTGTGTGTGTGTTTGTATTGAGCTGCAAAGAGTAGAAGCGCTGGTACAGTGCCAGCCAACCCTGCACATCTGTCCCTGTGTAATCTGTACATTTGCTATCCATTTGGAGTCTGTGGACTTCTTTTTTACACATTAATTGTATATGGAAATAGATACATTAAAATTTATGAATATTTGTTGTTTACAATACACTGCTCTCCAACTGCTTTTCCCCTCCCTGTATTCCCAGCTGCCATATTTTATCATGCCCTTGAGCTGTGAGCTCTGACACACCATCGTGTCTCAGTCATTTTCTTGCTTGTTTTACTCTTTGTGTTGTGATGTTTCTTCATTTTATTCCCATCAACTTTCATTGTCTTTAATTATGTCCCTGAACTTGTAAAGCTGTTTCTCCTAACAATGGGTACTTTGGAAATGGCAACAATTGCTTTTCCATGAACTACAAGGCAGGAAGTGCATTGTTTCTTTAAAAAAATTACCAGATGTTTTTCAGGACTGACTACAAACATAAAAAAAAAAAGCAGAAACTATTATTTTCCAAATATTCCAAGTCCAATTTTTTTATTGTGTGACTTCTGTTTGCATTTAACTGGGAATTGCAGCCTATGCCAATGCTAAAGAATGAATTTCTCTCAAGCTAAGGGCATAAGATGGAGTCTACCTACACGAACAGTGACTCTGTGGACTCAAGTCCATCAGAGTGAGTCATGTTGTTCCTTGTGCTGTTCCTGCCAGTCCAAATACAAGCACTGGGGTACCTGCAGATGGTTATCTTGTGTTCTCTGACTGGAACAGATGAATATTCCTTGTCCCTGGGGTGCAGGGATTATTGACAGGAAATACCCAGTGCTTCACAGCGAAGTGAGTGCATTTTATTTCTCATTAAAAATTAAAATGTATACTTTAAATGATAAAAGTATATTTTTAACATGGACGGTACAGTAAGAAGAAATTACCCACTTCACACATGCCTGGAAATTCATTATCCCTGCTGTTCCCAGACTACATCCCTTGGGATCACAAGCTGTTCATGATGGAGCGATACTCCCTCTGATGTTCCACAAGCTTCAAAAATACTTCATACTTCTTGTCATAAAATCTGTGTAAGGAAGTTAATTTCAACAAAGCCCAAGATTTGAAGATCTAAACCCCCGGTAATACACACGTTTACTGCCTTCCCTCAACATCAAAGAAACTTTGACTCTTCCCTAATTACACCTTCTGCCGGGATCAGAGCCCTCCCTGTGCGCTGCCGGAGCACAGTTTCCACCCAAATGAGTGATTTCAAGCTGTAATTACACCTTTTCCCTACAGCCAGCTTTGCTTCCCAGACAGCTTTTCCTCAGAGTTCTCTGCCATGGGAGTGGGGAGACACTGGCGCTGCACAGAATCATTCAGGCTGGAAAAGCCCTCCAAGTCCAACTGTTCCCCCAGCACTGCCAAGGCCACCGCTAACCCATGTCCCCAAGTGCCACATCCACATGTTTTTTAAGTATCTGCAGGGATGGGGACTCCACCACTGCCCCGGGCAGCTGTGCCAGGGCAGGACAACACTTTCCATGAAGGAATTTTCCCTCACATCAATCTAAGTCTTCCCTGACGTAACTTAAGGCCGTTTCCCCCTGTCCTGTCCCTTGTTCCCTGGGAGCAGAGCCCGATCCCCACCCGACTCCACCCTCCTGTCAGGGAGTTGCAGAGAGCCAGAAGGTCCCCCCTGAGCCTCCTTTTCTCCAGGTCGAGCCCTCCCACCTCCCTCAGCCGCTCCTGGTGCTCCAGACCCTTCCCCAGCTCTGTTCTCTTCCCTGGACACTCAATGTGTGTCCTGTGGCGAGGGGACCCCCGTGTCCCGCCGTGTCCCGCCGTGTCCCCCCATCCCGGTTCCGGGGCGCGCGGACCCGCTCCCGCCGCCAGGGGGAGCCCGCGCGCCGCCGCCCATGGAATATGGAATCCTTAAAAATGTAACATAAATAACCCTTAAAATATATTATAGTCCTTAAAAATTTAACATAAATAACGCTTAAAATATAATATAATCCTTAAAAATATAACAGAAATAATTAAAACTTAATAGAAGTAATTCTTAAAAATATAATGTAAACAACCTTAAAAATATAATGTACTATGACACTTAAAAAATCTGGGTGCTCAACGCTACTGTCCTTGAACAGGGATATAAAGAGATACACCCCAACTTTCCCAGGGGAACACAACAATCCCAGTGTTACCTTTTGTGCTCGTGGTTGGGCTGCACAACTCTCCCAATTTTCCCCATTTTCGCCATGGCCTCCTAGGAAAAGACAAACACAAACTGGAAAAGCCTGTTTTGGTTTAAAATACTTTTTGACGAGAACAAGATGTTTCAAAACCAATCGGAACATTAGTGATGTATTTTGTTTCGGCTGCACGGGCCAGATGGCAGCAAATATGTTCAATCCCATTATATAGTAGTCATGAGAACAAAGCACTGCAGACCCCTCATCACCAAAATCTGTTCCTCTTTCTCACTGGGAGTCCCAGGCGGAACAGACTTATCTTTTATTATTTACAGTAACCAAAGGAAATGTTAAACACTGTGTCCCCAGAGGGGAGTTTCTCAAATAAAATGATACTGTACATCAGATCCCTTAATCGTATTCTGAAAGTATCAGTTCCCTGCAGCAAGGGGGGACTGGAGGGTGCTCCAGAAGCTAAAGGTAACCTGGAAAGGCCTGTTCTGGAGCCCACAACTTCCCTCACACTCTGTAAGAGGCAAACTCTGATCCTCCTCTGCTTTCGGCCAAAACAAAGTCAGATTTTGCAGAACCCCCTAGAGAAGGAGTCTGGGACAGTCACTTATGGAAGGGAGAGAAACAAGTAATTTGGTTCCTCTCCTGATCTCTGTGAGATTCTGATTTTCCATAGATTGTCCTGAACAATCCTCCTGGAAGGAGATACTAACCACTGAAGTTCACAGGGGACCAAGCTCTCAGGAGTGCCAGGAGGCACTCAGTGATTTCACAAGGAGCATCAAAGCAATAGTTTTTAGATGGAAGAATGTTAAAAGCATTAAATATCAGGATTCAAGAATCAGTGTGTGACTAAATCAATGTTCATAGTTTCTAAGCATGACCCTGAAACTGCTCTTAGGTAGTGCCTAAGAATCAGGATGACCCCAGAGAACAGGCAGCCTGTGCTGCTGCTGGAACCTTCCACCCAACTGCTTCAGCTGCATTTTTAGAAGGGCTGGATGATTTTACAGACTGTAATATCTGCTGTAGTGAAATCTGTGCTTTCCACTAATCCAGCACTTCACAGCCAAAGATTTCCTAGAACTTTAGAAGTAGATTAGCAATGTCAGCACAGTGTCACAGCCCAGGGCAGGCAGGGAGGCTCCAAGGATAAGTTCTGCCTGACTGAACCTGCAGTATTACCTGGAGTGTTCTGGGAGTGTCCTTTCATCCTGCCAGTCCAAATGTCCCACTAGAACATGGAATGCCTACTTTCTACTTTTGTCAACTTCAGGGTGTCGATACTGGATGAAATGGTGGTTCTATAGAAGCAAAAAGACTGCCAGTGTGTGCAGTCGGGATTTTACTCTGCTAGGGTTGCTGATAAACTAGGAGGGAATATTTCTGTGCTCTCATATGCCCATTCTCTTTCCTATGTGCAGAGGTTGATTGTACTTTGATTCCCCAAGAAACACCCTTGAAATAACACTTCCAGTGAGATAGTGTGTTCCTTTCCATGGGACATGTGAGCCTGCTGGCACTGAGAGTCTGTACACCCGCCAGATTAAAATACGGGCATGGAAAGGTTGATATCCTTCCCAGTAAGAGGAACGGGCATTTTATTCCCTGTCGTTTAACAGGTGATGCTGACAACACTTAAGCATTGTCCCTGTTTACAACAGTCAGTCTCTTACAACTCCATTACATGGCCAGCTGGATTTAGAGATACCAACAAAAATGAATGAAGACACAGAAGAAAAGTCTACAAGTAAATGCCAATTCCCTCTGTTACAATGGATACTGATTTTCCATTGTGTCTTACAGAAAATATAAGGCAAAGCCCCTCGCACTTTCTCTCACTAATGGAAGAGTCACCTTGCTGAATGGAAATAAAACCAATCAAACTGAAAAGGAGGGACAGACTTTGCCATTCCCTGCTCCCTGCACACTCAGGCCTGCCTGGGCAGCGTTAACAGACCAGGACACAAACAGCACCATTCCCAGGATATGTCCTGCCTCTGACATAAGTGCTCCACACACTTGTGTTGTGCTTTACTCTGGGGCCTCTTACGCCTTCCAGTGCAGCACAAGCCTTGCTGCTGCTTTGGGCAGTCAGCCAGCTTGGAGATAAACCCATCTCCACACAGGTTTTATTTTTATGCTGTTACTCATCAAACCCCAGGTCTCCTGGGCTGATCCAGGAGAGAACAGGCTCCCCCAGGCATGGGAGGCTGAGGGCATCCCGGCTCTGCACAGCAATCCCACCTGGTTCAGGGTCCCTCCACATGTCCCCCCTCCCCACCTGTGCCTCCACTGCTCTGCTGGGGCCCAGCTTCCAGACCAAGTCCTTTGTAGAGTCTTCAAAGGGTGAAACCAAGTCTCCACAAGGTTGCTGAGAGCTTCCCACACTCCCTGTGAGGTCTCCCCAACCCTGAAACCCCTGTACACAGATTCACCATCCTCTGTCAGGCAGTAGGAGAGGGTGTCACCGCTCCCATGGAGAGGTCCCTAAAGGAAATCTGGTCCTTCAAGGCCTGATCTAACTAGGAAACAGGGCCTGGTCCCCTCATCCAGCCACCTTGAGCTAAGGAGGAAGGTGTCCAAGCAGTGTTTCCAGTTTATCTGCTAAAATACTTTTGTGTTTTTAAATCTACAGAAAATATCCAGATCCTTGAGAATCCACAGTATTAAAGTCTCACAGCAACTACCACGGTTATGTGGAATTAACATGTCAAAAAAATACACAGCCAGCAATTTTCAACAACTCACCCATTCTATGTTGCTCAAAATATCCTAAATTAATTCCCTCTCTTAATTCACATTTCAGTTGTGTGTTTTTCTGTGTTTTAAAGTCAGTTTGGTCATTGTTAGTTTGAACAAAAAAACTTTACTCCCAGAGGAGAGTCTTTTCAACAATTTTCTGGGGACAAAGAGGAACAGAACATTGAAAATATGAATTCATAATGAAATGGGAAACAAAGGAACATTAGAATTGCATTACTGAATCGAATCAACCTTGTGCACTGCTCTGTCTCCAACAAAGCCTTAAATATAGCAAAGTGATAATACTGCTGTTCAGAAATAGTTTGTTGGAGGGTTGACATCCAAATCCATAATTCCAGTCACCAAGAATTTCACAATCTTAATTTGAATGACGCTCTATCTTCTTTGTTTGCCAGTCTAGACAGCACAATGAATATAGTGATTTAAAACACAATGAATTCTCTCTTAAAACAAAATATTTTGTAAAATTGCTTTTTAATCATTTCTTTTCTCTCTTTCCATAAAGGCTATGCTATAAATAACCCCTGAAAGTTCGCATTTGATCATAGTTTCTAAAGGCTGGGCAAGAGGCAAGTGAAGGGTTTACACAGAAAAAAAGAGAGGCACTGTGGAGTAGGAATAAAGGGATGCATTCATGATTTCTAACCTTTTGTTGGAGTGTCAACGCTGAGACAGATACAAGGCAGTAAACACTCTGCTCTCCATGCAGAGAGTCAGTCCAACAGGGTTACCCTGCCCAGGACAGAAGGAACAGGCCCAGGGAACCAAACTCTCCAAGGCCACCAAGACTTCAGAACAAGGTGCCATTTTGCTGCTGGGAAGATCATTCAAATCCACTTGGTCCTGGTGGCTGAATTCAGCTCTCCAGCACCATCTCTCCAGCAGGGGATAAGTTGAAAAATACAGGGTAGAGCCTCAACAGGCAGTGGATCTCCCAGGGAATCCCTACTGGAAACCAGGGAAAACCTTTTCTCCTGTGGAGACCCTACTTTGACACAGCAACTAAAAGCTGTACATTTCAACTGTTTTCCCTTCAATAATGGGAAGGAAAAGGTTTTTAACCCTGTGTGGCCACAGTGCAGCAAGTTACTCTATCATACCAGGAGGCACCAGGACAAGCCCATCAGCCTGGCATGGGAGCCCACAGGAGAAGCACACAAGGAATAGCTTTAGACTGGGAGCCTGGTCTTCTCTGATTCCTTACCTCATGGGATCCTCCAAGAGCTGCCTCAGAGCACCCAGCACCATCCTGCCCATCCTACAAGAAGAGCCCATCTTCCTTGGGACTACAGAGGGAGCCATGGAAGATCAGCCCATTTGTGAATAGTCCCCAAGTCTTGTTTTCAGTAGTGACCCAAGGACTTACATGGTTGAGTATTACTGAAAATAAATGGGATGTAGGCCCTTAAATGAGAAGTCAGATTCAGGGATGTCAGTCTTGGCTAAGAATGTGCAGTAATAAAATGCCATTGAAATGAATGAGCTGGGAACATCAGTCCCTTTAAGAAACTGGGGGTTTGCTTTATTTAGGTACTTTAAAATTGTATCCAAAGGTAGATGGATATTTCCAGCACAAGTGCAATTTCCCAGATGTGTTCTCTCCACTTAAGTCATTTCAATAATCCCAAGAAATGTTTGGATTTTTACCTGGCATAGTTATTAACAATAAAAACCCATGTATCATTTAAAGCTTTCCTGTACAATTTCAGTGGCTGAAAGCACCGGGCTGCACATACAGCAAAGCACCAAACTGTGGGGACACGATGCTCCCACTCAGGCCAGTCTCGACTGCCCAGTGCTCCTGTACAGCTTTCCTGTCACAGATCCAGCAGCACAGGAAAATAATGTAAAAGTTGCCCTATTCACAATAGGCTGAAATGCAGGAATATTCTTCCCACCAGACCTGTGCTGACTTGAGGATTCAGCAGGTGTAACAACCTTCAAACTAACAGACTTTCTTTATACTTCTAGTCCTCACAACAAATACAATAAATAATGTTACATATAATAATTTTAACTGTTCTTTGTCAGTGAAGAACCTCCCTCTCACTCATCTCTATTCCACACACATAAGCTCAGACTAACAGATGCTCTTTAGCATCATTTTAAGAAGTCCAGCCACAGATATATTCGGATTTGAGAGGAATAAATAGATTTCTTGAAATGCTGATGTTCAAGAAACACTTATAAATTTTTCTAAGAATTTTAAGTAAGGCGGCTATTTCTTTATAGGCTTTTATTTAGGGATTGCTTGTTCCATAGCCTGGAGATGCAAAATCCATCTTATCTACGCTTA